GTAGAAGCGAGTAGGGCGACCGAGGCAGCACTTGTGATGAACTATGTACCCGGCTGATGTTGTTGCGCCCTGTTTACCTCGCTGCTGTATGCAATACTCCTCTATGTATGTCCTTTGTATTGCCTTCGGCCTCTGTGCTGGGTTTCATTTTTTAATGTCCTCCCTGCCTACTCTGCTGTGTTGGGTACCTTGATCTCGCTTTTGCTGCTGCTTTTGTTGTTGTACATCTGGCTGTCTGCCCATCTGCCGCCTCTTTGTCCTGTTTGCTCCGTTACTCCCATGCCCTAGTGCGTAGTGCCTGGCGCTGGTACGTTACCCTTTGATTTTTTAGGCGAGTGTGGGAAGCGTCCTCCTTCATTTTTGTTTTTGTCTTATTTTGATCGGTTTCCGAGGGCTCTTTTGTCGAACGGTCGGTGCGGTACCTGTTCTTTGCTTTCTATCATATTGATTTGTTTGTCCCAGTGGTTTGTACTCTATTTTTGTTTTGTTTCCCCGCGGCGTCGTATGTGCCGGGTTTTGAGACCACGGGCTCCCCATTTTTCGTGGACTAAAGAGCTGATGTGGGAAAGAAACAACAACAAAAAAAAAACTTTATGGATGATTCGGATGATTCATGATATTAATCAACGCGCGGACTTCGTCGCCGCACGGTTGACTGCGAACTATCTCACAGTTGGCAAAATACTTGCTCGCAGAGATTTTCACAGCAGTCTGCAGTCTTCGGTGTATGCACATGCATGGTTGATATCAGGCACACGGACCTCATTGTTCACAAGGTTGACTGCGAACTATAACGGAGGGTTCCTGCTGTAGACCCGTGTGTAATGTATTCGCAACTCGTAAGGAAGTCGAAACAGATATAAAATTGGCACCCGCGAGCGAGTACACCACACATGCCTGACGGGTGGTCATGGCGCGTAGTCATGGACAGCGTCAACTTGAGCGGGGTACAAATCTCAGATAGAAGTACATAGTACACGAGCGGGATTCAGCGAACGGTTTATTTACGATGGGAGTTTCGTGCAGGAGTCAAACTTTAGAAAACCAAGGCATGCAGGCGTTTCCTGAATTTTTGAAGAGAAAACACAATGACCCCCCGTGCGCTCTTAAAGTCGGGATATAAATCTACAGTAAAAGATAAAGCATTGAATCGAATGTTCGCTCGCAAGGTCATCGAAGGTACCCCGTAGTGTGGCCCTTTTACCCAATCGCACTCCGCACTATTCAAATCCCACCGCGGGCCGGAGGACGTGGGGGCCGAAGGCAGGGAGGACCTTGGCAACATGTTTCCGACGGTTATGGCAACGCAATAAATTCAGCCTCCCTCGACCCGCAAACTGCCGGGTTTTTTTTTTGGCGTCGGCCCCCTTTCACTTACGCTGCACTCCACGCTGCGGCGTTTCTTGCCATTTGCATCTGCATATCTCATATCTGCATCCATTGAGGCAGTTCGCGTACGTAGTGCTGCTCGGCACTAAAAACGAACAGATTCGTGACAGCTTGAGCCAGGGCTCAACGGCTGGATTCCCTATCTCGCATCCACATGAGTTCACCGATCTCGCAGTAGTCCAGGGCACGCTTCTTCTCTAAGAACAAGATTCTCATCGATAATCGAAACGACACTGCTGTTGTACAGACAGGGCGTCTCGACTACGGCAGCAGTCTGGAGCAGGGTTCGTTCGTTGTTCACCCGGATATGCAGCAGCTATCGTTGGTTGAGAGCTGGCACGCAAATATTTAGACACACAATAAGCCCGGCGTTCGCCGCCGAGAACATGCCTATACCCACCTAAGTTTGACGTCGAGCTTCATGGAGGCGACGGCGTCCATCGTGTGGTCTTTGCAACCGGCATCGACCACGATAATCTCAACCAGCGACTTGTCCTTTGTGGCGACACGCACGCAGCAGCAGGTGGCCACGACACACGACCGAAGCGACAAAAAGGGACACGGATCACCGATGCACTCGTGGGCGAATGCAGCGTCGATTCACACGTCGAGATGAAGAGCGGTAGTTACTCGTTCGCATATGCAAGAGGGGTGGTACAGCAGTACATCCACACTCTGGCACAGAGTATCAATTGTAGGTCTAGCTGGAGGTGGGATGGGACAAATTCCTCATCCGGCCTGCAGACCTCGGCGAGTGGCCAGGATCTGCAAGAGAACAAGCTGCTGGTACTTTAAGCATCCGGGAAACCCACGATGTAGCTCATTGGGATGGATCTGGCTGACAGCTGACCGCGTGCCGGTCTCGCTGGGGGGGCGAATGCGTGCAGCGTACCTGGGCCAGCTCATCGATGGTGGCGAGCGTCAACTTGACCCCATCTCCCTCGTTGTACGCAGGCACCACGACCGATACAAAACCTTCGCCAACGTGGCATTCAGTGTTTGGGACCAGTCTTGGCCCGGCCTCCGCTCGCCTCAGCCCCCTGGGGGTAGGCCATGGGCAGAGAGAGCGCAGCATCAGCCAACGGCAAGGGTAACACACGCGTTCGTGGCAGGAAACGAAAAACGGGATCTGCTCATGTGTCTTGAATCTGTGGTCTCTCTCTCTGCCTGTCCGGAAAGCTTACCAGTAGGCCAAGATGCCCGCGATAGAAATCCCGCAGACAAGCGTGTCCCACATAACCTCCAGGGTTATAAAAAGTGCCTGCGGCCCTGCGGCTCCTTGAGGCGTTCTGGGTTTGGGAGGCTTGAGAGCGTGTGCTGTGTGCTACCGGGCTGATGTCTGCCTTCTCCGGAGACCGGAGACCACCACAAAAAAAGCGTAGATCCCATGAGAAATAGCGCAGTAGAACCTATTTGAGAATTAACCAAAAACGGGTATGCCCGGATGGATTATCACCATTTTAGGGTACACGTCGAAATCAAGATGACAGTATCCGCTGTAGATCGCGGCGAAACCAATAAACCGCTGTCTGTGTCCTCTGCTGTTGTTGTTGTTGTTGTTGTTGTTGTTGTTGTTGTTGTTGTTGTTGTTGTTGTCTTCACATTAAAAACCGTTCCGATCTCTCTCTACCCAGTACCTTCGTATGTCCGTACTGATCCAACACTCGACGCGGTCGATTCCCGTGGTCGCAGGCTAACTTACCCTACAATGGTACACACAAATAGAAATCAACGACAGATATTCTGGAGTCCTCCACTCCCTCTGCGCGCTATGCGAGGTAACTGNAACACTCGACGCGGTCGATTCCCGTGGTCGCAGGCTAACTTACCCTACAATGGTACACACAAATAGAAATCAACGACAGATATTCTGGAGTCCTCCACTCCCTCTGCGCGCTATGCGAGGTAACTGCTGTGTGTCCTGTCCCCGGAAGCATGATGATGCACGAGGCAGGTCGTGCCCGTTTTTCTCCCTCTCTGTGCCTCTCTCTCTCTCTCTGTGCTTTTTTTACTGATCAGTACCACACCGAAGTACTCGTCGCGCGTCAAGCGAGTCCGACCCTCTTTTGAGAAAGGCCGGTATCCTATGGAGGCGGTGCCCATGAACGATGAACGTGCGAGCGTTATTGGTGGTTTGGTTGTGGTTCTTCTGTATGTGCGGTACACGGCATGTGCGGTACTACACGTTTTTTTCTGCGGGTTTTATCCTAGAGCGTCGGGCGCCGGAATTATGTATGACCATTTCTGGTACAGTATTGACCTCTTCCGGGTACACCAGTAACCAATATCGGTCACACCAGAGGGTCCTAATTCCAGCGGAAGTTGTACCCGATGGAGGTTTCTTCAGGAATGGGTGCAATGTTTTTCGGGCCAATCAGCTGACAGCCTGGGGGTGCAGCGCGTTGATTTCTAACTGTACCCTAAAGTGGTCATAAAGGACCCGGGTACACCCGTTTCTGGTTATTGGTCGACCTATTTAGTCTAATAGTCGACCAAACCGACATTTCCTCAAAAAAACATTCACAGCTGTTGCTTCGTTGAATGTTTGAAAAAATAACACAAGGATGGCGGAAGAAGACTTGTACGGCGATCTCGACACTTCTGTGGATGCTTTGAAGATCAAAGGGGTGAGCTTTACGTTGCACTGCTCGTAGATGCTGAGGTTGTGGGTGCACATGTGCCTCCATGCTTGTACTGTACGTCGTATGCATATGCAAACGTGTATTTGCTCCGTTGCTGCCGTAGTCTACACTGCTTTAGCCTCTTTCGTCCACCCTGATCTCGTTGTGCAGATATCAACACGTGACCTATTCTGTTCGTGCTGCTCCCTTGGCCGCAAACACTGCGCCACTGCTGTACTGTGCTCTTTCCTCGTGTTTTTCTTCGCGGATACATCACCAAAGCTGGAAGCTGAGCTATCTACTTCAGAAAGCCTCCGGAAGGGTTTGGAAGAGCGCCTTGCCACAGCACTCCGCAAGGTAAGCTGTGTGAGAATTACTTCTCTGTGTCCTGCAACCTACCGTGCCTGCTGTGCAGTAGCAGTTCAGGGGTTGCAGCAGCAGGAGTAGAGCGCTGTACACACACATGGCTGCTGTGGGCACGTGCATAGCTGCCCAACTGAAGAATGGCAGAGCGTCTGCACCAATGTATAGCTTGCTTGCGGCTAGATGTGTACAGTCGACCCCGCTTGAAAGACACACCGCGTTTTTTTTTTTTGGAATGTCTTTAACCCGGGGAAGTGTCTTTAGGATTCCGGGGCCACTAACTCACCGTCCCCGGGGTCAATGGAGGTGTAACATGTGTCAAAATACGCGCATTTGAAGCAGGAATGCGACCACGAAATTGTGCTGCTTAAAAACTGCGACAACACGTCAATTGAAGGCCGCAACACTACTGCTGCTGTACTCCAATACTGTACACATTTTTGAATTTCCCTCCACCACCGAAACGCGGGAAGGAGTACAGCACGACCTATTGTAATGTGTACGGCAGTGTGCGCTGGTGTTGTTGTAGGCTTTTCTTATTGTCAAGGCGTTGTCCTCACGGTGAACATCATGCCCGTGATATCGCGAACACACCTGAGACACATCAGTTTGTTGGAACTAGCTCTGATACGATACACGCAAGTTACCTGCCACATAGGGACCAAACAAACCCAGTCGACCCCTCAGAGGGATCTGAGGGACACTAGAAAACGGTCGGTAGCGCAGACCACAACATACAAAAAATCGGGCAAACCCACCGAAAAGAGAACACCGCTCTTCCCCAAAGGTCAACACGAGGCAAAAACACAAAACAAAAAATGCCAAAATTTAACTCCACGAGAAAGGCAAAAAAATCCCAAACAATGAATGTGGGCTGCCAAGTGTGTTGTCCTCAAACACCAAAAACTACGTCGCCCACACATCCCGAAGAGTCGCCTGCACCTCACCCCCCTCCTTCGTTCTTCGCTTGACTTGAGTTTCATGAGTGAACGAATGCACAGTCTTCGAAAGAAGGTACACCGTTTCGCTGTACTCGCCGTCTCTTCCGTTCGCGTACAAATAGGAGCGGACATCCTCGAGACGAGAGCGAACCTCGGCCTCTGAAATCGTAGATGTCATGCACGACTCTTGCCTACCGTCCTGGTCTTCCTCTTCACTGGACACGTCGTCTTCGACGTGTACTCTTGACATGTTCTCCGTTACCTCTTCCATCTCGAGTTCTACCTCTTCCCTCAAGACCTCTTCATCGTCCTCTACACTAAGCCACGTGCTCACTGCGCTCCGCACTTCTTGTTCAGTGAGGCCGGAGGTGCTCTCGACGAACAAGTTGTCCGACAACACTCGCGGCATGGACCTAGCGTCCAAGTCCTTGGCACTCTCCGGCAAGGACATCTTCTTGACCATATCGCAAAGGTCGTCCAAGGCGGCCGCTTCCTTGTCTTCTCGGTCCAGCCGCGTGTCTCTGCCCTTGAGCGCGTTCTCGTGCTCCCTAGGAAGAATGGTGGCCTTGAGCCAGCACCTGACAACAGTCTGGTCCGAGAAGCTCTCCCACTTCTGCGAAAGGATCTCCGTCACATCCAGCATTGTTGCCTGGCCTGCGTCGCTCAGGCCCCGGCAGCCCCTGCAAAACAAAGATGCAAGGAACACAGTAAAAAAAAAAAAATGATCAACAGTTTTTAATCACCAGGAGAGAGGGTGGATTTCGCTGGATGTGGTGTACGGCAGGCATGTTTATGTCGGAGACCCTGTTGCGGCGTTGTTGGTCAGAGAGCAACTGCTACTGCTGTACTGACCAGACGCACACACTTCCGTAGTTTCGCCGACGGGACTGCTGTAAAAAATCACCTGCGGCTGTCCTGCTCATTTTCTTCGGCATCCACTTCCATGGGACTGCTGCTGCTGCCAGCCTGGTCTCCACCTTTGCTCTTCTGGCAATCCGAGCACTCTCTCTGCTGTCCGTAGCCTTCCTCTCCGATGCCCCGACCACAAAACGCGTGCATGGATCGCCCGCACGGGCACTGGTGAACCGCTGACACGAGTTGAGACTTTTGCTGGCACGTGGGTTCGCCACATGGCCTCAAGCCGGCAGCTGACGACTCGCCAGCAGATGGGAGGAATCTCTCCATACCCACACGCAGTAGTGCGGGCTGCAGCAGACCGCTGTCGATGTTACAATGCCTTACAGATTTGCTGCCCCAGCAAATTTTTTTTGGGGGGCCGCATAGTGGAAACGCTACCCCCCTATATTATTGTACATCTGCGGGGCACCATGTTCTGGGGAAATAATGTGTCTTTATAGCGGGGAGTTTCCTTAAGAAGAGTGTCTTTAAAGCGGGGACGACTGTACTTCGCAGTACTATGTTCGAAGTACAGCAGTAGAGGCCCCTATTTAGTGCCGGGGTGTGCGCCGAAATTTCACCGGCACTAAAACGGACACTGGCACTATTCGAAGTACGACTTGGTATTCCAGTGTGTGTGAGCCGAAAACACCGGCACTATAACGACAACCGGCACTATTCAACCGGCACTAAACAGGGACCTCTACTGTACTATTTGGCCAGATACTGGTCCTGCTGCTGCCGCTACTGTCTGTAGTACAACTGCTTGTACTACGTCAGTACCATGTTATGTAGTCCATGGTCTCCAGCATGAAGGTGGGCGCTTTCGCCCTCCCTCTGATGGATCGGGTTTGCCCAACTTGGTTTGTCCGTAATAACTATTCACGACCGATAAGGCGAAGGGACGGTAGTCCTTCTCACAGTTCGTATGATAGGCGAACACCATCGCTTTATTGGTAAACACGTTTTATCAGAGATCTCTCCCCAACTCCCCAAGTGTCAGACGGGTGTGAGTTGCACGTGCGACGATTTCCCTCACCAGATCGTTGTTTCACATACAGTCAACATACCGGTTGTTACCACATCACTACCTGTTTCAGCATCAAACACCATCTTCCACAAATTTCCCGCAGAGGCACCTCCTCACTATGCTCAATAGCGCTCCACGGCACAAACACTTGCCAGTGTCAGCCTTCGCAATACCCAGCCGGAGTACAGCACGTAGCCCTCCTAGTACCCAGTCCCTCCGCAAAGAAAATGCTGAAAAAACGTTTGTCAGCCATTGCTCGAGGGGCTACAGTCCCTCCGAAGCATCTGAGCTCCTTGCCAGACAAAGGGTGACTTGGCTTCAGTATGAAGAGTGTCCCCAAAACACGTGGGGG